TCCTTCTACTTTCTAAAATTAAAGAAACGTTCTGGGAAAGTGATTAGAAACTATTTTAACTTTTCGTTTTTAGCCGTTGAGCTCCATTTACTCCCATTCATTGAGGACTCTGCTGTTTAGCAGTCCTGTTTTTGACATAACGGGGGGAATAGGGAGTGGCCAGGCTGAGAAAAAGAGAGATACGATACCATTAGCTTGGTGCTGGAACCAAGACTGGAAATCACATAGAGCATTGTTTACTATATAACTACTTACAAAGTGAAGATTTTTGCATTAACCAGTGCTATATTATGAAATGCTCATCATTACATGACAGTTAAAAAAGTAGAGATGACTGCTATATACAATGATGGGCGACTGAACATTCTCATGCTCTTTCAGAAGTCTGTGGTTGCTTAGCAACTATGACATACTCTATCATATTCAGAAAGAATCATGGCCACTGGAAGAGTAGACAAATCTGATCTTGAAGTAAATCATCATATCAACTACTGTCACCTTTTGTTCACATTTGCCCAAGACTATGTAAGCTAATCCTGCCCCAGTAAGTATTTCATTTAATTGCAGGGTTCAGTAAAGAAGCATTCATTTTGTAACAGTGTTTTCCCACTGCACATTCAAAAACAATAACTGATCCACACAGGAACCAGCTGTTCTAGTTCTAATCCTAGTTCACCTGCTCAAGAGACATCTGGAACCATTTATAATAACCACAATTAAGTTTAATGGGCTTTTTGGTCATTCTGTCTTATGGTCATGCTAAGGTGTCTACTTTGGCTATTTAGCTACCTTGCTTGCCAGTCACACAAATGTCTTCATTTACAGAAAATCAGTGTAGAATTAAACAAAGCTCAAATTTTTCTCTGACTGTGAAAATATGAGCAAAACACTTGTTCTGTGGCAACTAGCATAAATGCTAATAGTGTTAGCTTCTCATAGCTTATGTTACCTTATGTCAATCTCTCTACAAAGTACTAATTTTAAAAATAGCAATCAACATTCTGACCTAGTTTATATTCTGGTGCATTTATTGGATGTGTAATAGTGCTTGGTAGCTTCATCTGGAATTCACTAGCATAGCTTAGCACTAGCTTAGCTGCAAGTGTTACCAAAGACAGAGGATTCCTCACTGGAATTAGTACTTATAGCAGCTCTGCCTCCTTTAGAAAGCTATAAAACAGGAAAAACGTCAGTAAAATCCATCACATGCTTGAATACATTTGACACTGCAGCCTCAAACACAACAGGATTCTACAGTCAATGCCAATGTTTTGTCCGTTTGAATACATTTGACATTGCAGCCTCAAACACAACAGGATTCTACAGTCAATGCCAATGTTTTGTCTGTTTGTATTTGTGAAATTATAGTATGTTTGTATTTATTGTAAATTGTGAGATGTATTAAGCTGCTTCCGTGCTGATTGGATGCAAGTTATCCACCCAGAAGTAAAGCCAACCGTTATGTGTACCAAACATTCTGGCCAAATGCATTTCATCAAACTCTACACATGTATGAGTGTAATAACAATAAACTTGAATTGAATTTAATGACACATTGGGACTGATAAGGCTCTTATCATTTTAGAATCCTGTAGTACTAGTGAGCATCCATATATCCATTCTGACATGTGCACCATGGAGAAAGTTCTGCTCAGTGTGCCTTTGAGAGCTTGAGCTGAATTTTAATAATATTAATTGAATTTTAATAAAATATAAAAAAAATGTTGTATGATATTCTACATAAGTGTTGAATTAAACATCCAGCAAAACTTGAATGAAAAATATAAGAAATAAACATTATGAAATTAAGCTTAAAATCTGCTGATCAGACTTATCTGAGAACTGTGTGGGCGTGGCTAATGAGCAGCTTGATTGACAGCTCTCTATCCAACACTCCTAGCCTGCTCCACCCCTCATACAGAACTGAAATCATTTTCCTGTTTTTATGTGATGGTAACAGGATGAAAAACGTCACGACGAACAGATGCACAGACAGACAATGGACGGATGAAGCAATGCATGAATGAAGGAACAAATGAGCAAACAGTGCATATGGATAAACAAATAAACAGGCAGCTACAGACAGGTGGTTTCTCGGACTCTGAGGCTGTTTTGTGTGGGCGGGGCAAGGGACTTAGCAATTTTAGCAACCAGTTTACATCGAGAGGAGAGAAATATGGTGAAGTACATTGGTCACTGGAACATTATTCAAGGGCTGTACATTTTTATTGTTTACCTGCAAGAACCAGATTAACCTGATTAGAAAGAAAAGATATTCTATACTCATTGTCCATCTTATTGTCCATTATCCATTGTGCTGGTGCGAGTGGATCAGACACAGCAGTGACACTGAGGTGTTTAAATACTCCAGCAGCACTGCTGTGTCTGATCCACTCAGACCAGCGCAACACACACTAACACACCACCATCACGTCAGTGTTACTGCAGTGCTGAGAATGATCCAGCACCTAAATAGTACCTGCTCTGTGAGGGTCCATGGGGGTCCTGACCACTGAAGAACAGGGTAAAAGGGGGCTAACAAAGTATGCAGAGAAACAGATGGACTGCAGTCTGTAACTGTAGAACTACAAAGTGCACCTATATAGTAAGTGGAGCTGATAAAATGGACAATGAGCATAGAAACAAGGAGGTGGCCATAATGTTATGCCTGATTGGTGTAGGTTCCCTGGGTCTTTAAGGTGCTTTCCTACAGCACCCTCCAGAATTATTGGCACCCATGGGAACAAGTAAGGCTATTAAAAAGGCCTTTTTTGTTTTTTTGCTCAAATATGTGCTGAAACCATGAAAGAAGATTTCTGTGAGGTACAATTATTTGGAAAAAAAAACAAGTTTGACACATTTTGCATAATTTATCACACGGCCTTTAGAAAACTAAAAATTGAATTTCGGCTCTGATCAGTGAGGTGGGATGCTCCTCTTGCAGCTTTGCGTGTGAGTCAGAAAGCTGGAAAATGACTTCATAGTAGCAGCATGAGAGGCGTTGAGGTAGGGAATTGTCCATATCATATCCACATCGTTACAGTGTAGGGTGATGTGTAGTGTTCACATGCTGAGTAGAGGCAGTGTTTAGTGTAGCGAGGGGGATGCCTGAATAAAATCCTCATGGGCAGTGGTTCTGTCAGCAGGGAAATGACCCGCATTTAAGGAGCCTGCAGCTCAGCGCTCATGCTGGCCGACACCCACTCTGCTTCACAAGGGCATAGGGGCAGAGAGTAATATGGAATTGATGTGTGTTTAATGTGTATGTTTAAGGCAGTGTATTTAGCTTTCTGTGGGGACCATGTGGCACCAGAGTGATAAGATAACTTGGTCGTTATGGGGCTGCTGGTTCTCCGTAAGGGAGTACTTCTTTTAATTTACAAAAGAAAAGCTTTTATTAGAAAAAGTAAAAGAGATCAAATTTAGATCTGTAAAATTACAGCAAATTACTACCATTTTAACAAATAATAACAATAAAATAGCAGCATTATGCTGTTACTCCACACTCACCTGCACCACAAGACTACCGTGATGTGGCTACATTCTGCTGCACGTTTAGAGAAATAAACTGTAATGAAAATACAGTAAACTCAATAATTTACAGTAACTTTCCATATCGTCACTGTCAGAACAAAACCTCATATCTTAAAAAGGTAACTTTACAGGAGAAGGAGAAAATTATAATAGAAGTCAGCTTAAGATTTTTACAACTAATTTTTGACCACTTATTACAATAAAGATCCAAGGTTTTTGAGTGACAGTGACGATATGAAAAAACAGACTTGTAAATATGCGAAATTGATAGTCAATAACAGAATTACACTGTGAATAATTGACACTGAAAATAATGATGCACTGAAATAACAATTCAAATGTGTGCATCATTTCCACACACAGTGTATTAAATCAATGCCATTTTGTCTCTTTGCTTTGCTTACTTTTGATAACACCTCCACTGATGTAATATATTTTATTTACATGCAAATGAGACAATGCATTTTTTCAGTGCAAGAAAAGCTGCATTTTTTGCAAAAAGAAAAAAAAATAGGTTAGGTTCTAACCTAATACTCAAGTCCGTTTCTGAACATTAGGGGGCACTAAACACCTCACACTCAACGCTGCATGTTAATCATATTACTTGGTATGAAAAAAAGAAAAATAGTGAATAAATCATTGTAATCAGGAAAAAAAAATTAAACAGTAATAAACTAAATCGTGTGCAAAAGTTTGAACACCCCAGTCAAATAACGTATTGCTGACTTTCTAAGTGAAAATAACTGAACACATACTCTACAGAGAGCGCACTCAAATATTTTACAAACTATATTTAGTTATAATTGGAAAAAAAAATAATTTTAAATATGAAATGTGCACACTTGTGTTTCATTTTAATGTTAAATTCTGTAAAGAAACAGTATTAAAATGTGCAGAAGTGTGTTCTCTGTAGAGGAGGTGTGAACTTATTTTCACAGAATCAATAAAAACATTATTTGACCAGTGGTGCCCAAACTTTTGCATACAGCTGTACATACAATGGAAATAGAATCAAATTGGCTGTGTAAATAAAATAAAATAAATACACAAACAAAAAATTAAATAACAAACTAATTTTTTAGTTTAACAATAAAAACTAATTAATAAATGTACAGAAGTGAAGTCATTGAAGATGTCTTCGTCAGATATTTTATCAAGATTTAAAAAAAAAATCCTCTTGTGGCTTAGGTGGTCCTAAGCAACTGCTTGCACTGCACACAGCAAGAAGAAAAAAGATGGAGAGTGGAACTAAAACAGAGAGATCTCAGACATAAATGGAGGGAGGCGTGATTGCTGAAGGAAATGGGTTTTGGAAGAGAGCTGTGAGCAGACGCAAAGCGAAGTGACAGATATTGGGGGTGGGGGGGGGGAGGTAGGGGTTAGCCTCCCCAGCTACAGGAGCCCCCACAGGGTAGGGGAGGAGAGCAGACGCATGGCATATGAACCATGAGGAGGAGGAGGAGGAGGAGAGAGAAAAAAGGAGAGGAGGATAAGGATAGTGGAGTAGAGGTGTCACTGTGGCTACGTCTAAGATTGTGAAAGAGAGTGAGAGAGAGAGCGAGAGAGAGCGAGCGAGCGGAGACAACGAGACAGGGGAAAAAACTAAAAGGAGAGAGAGAGAGAGTAAAAGAAGGAATCGGAGAGTGAGAGACATGAGAAGAACAAAGAGAAGGGAGGAGACACAATCAGATGAAACCATACTGAGGGGACAAACTGGGGGTGGAGTGTGATAGTAAGCTGGCGAGTGAGTAAAGAGAGTGAGAGAGTGAGAGTGTGGAGTGAGAGGAAAAGGAGGGAAATCTCCGCTGTGAGCCAGAGCGGTGCTGAAGTTTTAAAGACCGCAGACGCACTGAAGTGCATCAGCTGCTCTGCGCACCAGCACGTGATGTGCGTATTCTCACTGGACTCTGTGCGTGATGCCCCAGCTGACCCTGGACCTACCTCCACATCAGTACTGGACTCTGGTCACACAGACACTTCGCTGACCAATGGACACTACTCTGCCTTTCCATATGTCGGAAACTAAGAGGATACTTTCCATCAACCGAGACATGCAGGTAAAGAAACTGGCTCGGTTTATGAATATATCTAGTATGAGTTGGTTAAAATGTTTAAATCTAAAACTCGCCTTTTACATTTACTCACATTTAAAATTTCAATTTATAGAGAAAATAAGTGCTGTGAATTTCTGTTGCTCAGCTAAAGATGCAGAGGAGTACTTAAGCAAAGTGTTTGGAGTATTATTTTTATTTCCTTACTGAAATATCTTTATTTATGTCAAACAGTGTTCACCGCAGGCATGTTGTTTCAGTTGTTTTTTGTCTTGAGATCTTAGACTGTGAGATTAGCTGAGCCATTCTTTAGCTTTAGCAGTAAGTGTTTGAGTTTAAGTGTTCTTGTGGTCATCAATTGCAATACATGGTCATCCATACCAGAGCTTGGTGCTTAAGAAGGTGGTGGAATGAGGGATAACAGGAATAAACTTTTTTGGAATAAAAGAGTTTTATGTAGTTTTATGTAGTATGTAAACATTGTTAAAGTCTCAAAATAAACCGTTCACTCTGCCATCCATATAGAAACAAAGCAAAAACAGGCCATTTAAATTAATTGTTTTGAAATGACCGCAATTAGACATAACCACCTGTTCAGCCTACGCCTATTCACACTGAAGTCATAAGGAGTGTTTCACCTCTGAGTGCTTTTTACTTGAGGCGTAATACAAGGCAGCCAATCTGAACAGAGATCATTTACATGTATAAGTCTTAAATGCACAGCAACAAAAACAGCCTGTTTAATTCTAAGGTACAATGGTCATGTAAAAATGAATTATGACTGTTTTGGTGTATTTAAAACATCCTATGTTTTTATATAACCTCAGGAAAAGCATCATCATATCATAGAATATGGGCCGCTTGTTCTAAGGAATAAGGGGTGGCTGGAAAATGACCATGTAAATATGACTGTTTTTGGTACATAAACCAACAAGAATGTTATGAATGGACCTCAAGGAGAAAAATATAATATAAGAACAATGTAAAATAGGGGCCCTTTAAGATTGTAGAGGCATTTGAGGGAAGTGCTAGAGGAAAATAGAAGGATATATGGTTCAGTTGAGCAAGACTGAAGAAGAAGAAAGATCATGACCACTCCTCTCACGTGTAGGTTAGGAGAGTGATGGAACTCCAGGCTACAGAGGCTACTGTGCCGGTTTCTCCATTATTCCAGATGACTATCTGCTGTAGCACAGCCTGGCCGCAGTGTCTTGACCTCGCCCCCAGCAGGCTGACCCCACCAACTCTGCTCCAGTGCCGTAATCCTCCTCCACAGCTTCCCCTACATATCCAGCCCACAATCCCGCCTATACACTCAGCTCGAATTAGCCTACTGACTGTGAGCTCGCTTTTTGCCCTGTTCTGCAAGTGAGCCAGGCATAAAAGAACTCTCTTCACCCTGGTTTCTATGTCTTATTTATTTTTTAAGATCTTCAGTCTTCACACGAGCATCACACAGAGTGGAGAGAAGGCTTGGACATAAATTATTTATGGAAGTTCAAGCGGCAAAATCTCTTGTTTTTTGTCTTGTTGTATAAATGTCTTGGTATTTTTGTGTACATACAATATATGCTGAATGATTTGATGATATATACAGTACTGTGCAAAAGTCAGAGACCTTCATTTGTTTAACTTCCAGCCAAAACAGCCATTGAGTAGAAGTCATTGAATGAATACAATGGATATGAAATGGGACTCTTAACAACCATGCAAGACCTAGTAGACCACCAAAACTGTCCCCATCAGATCAACTGTACTTAAAGCTGAGAGAGAGGAGAAAATAAACCTCCATTGTTGCTTCATATCTGAAAAAATCCACAGATGTTTCTGTCCATCATTTCACTGTGAGAAGACAACTCAATGCTATAGGTCTGAAAGGACATGTAGCTGTCAAGAAGCTGTTACTGAGTAAATAAAATAGGACAAAAAAGAAGAAAATTTGGCAAACCAAACAAGGAAGTGGGTCGTGTTCTCAGAACAACAGGCTGACCACTCCAAAGCCCAAACCTCGGCATTAATGTGTTTGAGATTACTTGAATTGTGAGAAGCAGAAAGTGCAACCAACTTCTAGGACTGAACTTTGGAGGCATGGAAAAATACCCCTGTAGATTTCTTGGAGCTGTAATAAAAGCAAAGGCAGGACACAGTAAATCAACTGGACATTGTATTTATCAAGCTTTCTGTTAAATGCATGTTTTCTGCTCCCTTTCTCACACTAAACATTGATTAACTTGTACATGATGGCTGTCTTGACTGGACATTAAAAAAACAGAGGGTGGTCTCTGACCTCTGCACAGTAAAAATGCAGACAGAGCGTGTTAGGCAGGTTCATAAAGTGGTCAGCCTTCACATTTTTTTCCTTGACTGTCTTCTGCTCAGTACTCAAATCATTACAATGAGAAAATGCACCCCCTCTCCCACCCATCCAGGCTTATCCATTTGAGACATGCACTTAGTAAATGGATTTAAATAAATTGTTTCATAAACAATTTGTGTCTGCTAATTCGCAAAAGCAACCAGTGGAGGGAATCCATCTCTGTTATGAGATGATTATGATGGCACGGGCGTGATACATAATGAATAGAATCCTTCATACACCACGTCCCTTCTGGCTTCATTAAAAACCTGCCCTACTTTTTGCTAAATGCATGTGTAATGAAAGATGTAGACCTTTTAGATGGAGAGAGACTGAGTAAGCGAGTGTGCATGCATGCGTTTGTGTGTGTGTGTTTTTGTGTGTGTGTGTGTGTGTGCGCCTGAGTCTAAAAGCGTTCAGCAAATTTCAGTGTGTGAGGAGAAGCCCTGCTGGGCTGCTGTCATAACTAGCAAGCAGCCCCAGCTGAGCTTCTACTTTAGCACTTAATATTTAGCATGCTAGGTTTGAGTTAGCGCAGGGAGAGCCTGAGTGTGGGTGTCCAGACAGGGCAGCTTCAGACTGGGGGAATGTGCTGTAATCAGACAGGGCCATGGCCTCACGCTGGCTGCCGAGAGTGAAGTAATGGCAGAGGCAGCAGTTAAGCTAATGAGACTGGTGAAGGAAGTAGAAACAGCCATGCAGGTCAACACACATGCACTCATTAGGCCGCTGCAAACATGTGTCGGCAGTTCCCAGAATCTTACTTATGCTCCCACATCATAATTAATGTCTTTACGCTGTAGTCATTGCTACTTTGACAAGCTCTAATTAACTGACATTAGCTAGCAGCAATATGTTAGCTCTTCTGAAGAACAATCCGTGAGGGGGTTCAGTAATGGAATACATTAGATATCATACGCGCCAACTACAGGGGGCAAAAGCCATTATGGTGAGACCATAACCCCAACACGCCCCCCCCAACACATACCCACACACCCCTGGATGTGGGATTTCTGAGCCTGACACATTAACTAATAACCGATAACACCTTATAATAGCTGATAGCAATACCAAAAAATGGTAATTTAAAACACATAAGACAATAAGATCTAAAGCCACTGACAGCAGTAACTCAAGAGATATAAAAAATAAGCAAAAATAACAAATCAAACAAAGTGAGAGTATATATAAATATATATAAATATATATTATATATATATATATATATATATATATATATATATATATATATATATATATATATATATATATATATATATAATATAAAATTGCATGCATATAAGTGTAAATAGCATAATGTGACTTTGAACACTAAGTGTACATAGCAGCATCATTCTGTTTGCACATAATTTAAATAGCATCTGCTGAAAAAAACTGTTACAAATAAAGAACAGGGATATGGAATTAACTACAACAACTAACAATGTCAAGATTATCATTAGCCAATGACAAGGCTAAAAACATGTCCATGTAGCTAAGATTAAAAGAAATATATACTATTAAAAGAACTCCCCCAGCTACGACTTTGCATGTCACCGTCTACTTTAAAGGACTGAAGATAAATTAATGGAGAAAAAAAAAAACCATAAACAAAAAAACATTCAGAGTGAAGCTAAGACATTGGTTTGCCACAGTAAAGCATAACAAGCTAATAGGTTTAGCTGATTTGTATGGGATATGAAACCGTCTTTTCTATAAATTTATACGAAGCCTTCAATCCTGAATAAGATTTGTTTTTTCATAAACCACATAGCTAAACAAAGATGAAAAATATTCACGGAATGTGCTTGCCTCCAAATCATCACAGCTATATAACATCCTGTTATGGCGGAACGTTTTTTCAAATTCAAATGCAAATTTCAAATTGCTAATTAAATTGTCTGTTTACAATTGCATTTTCCATGTGACTGTGCATTATTTAAGACATAATTTAAATTCATACGTGAAATGTGTATTTGCATTTGCGTTTCTGTATATAATGGCTGGAAAAAGTTCATATGGAAAGTGCTTTTGACATTTCATTTTCATTGTCTTAATGGTCTGACTCTGATATATTAAAAACAGAACAGCGAGCCCCAATTTTCAATTGCATTCCATCATCGTGGCGCTCCAGCTCTGACAAAATGAAAATGTATTTCGCTGTGGTCGGAACAAAACCTCGTATCTCCAAAAACTGAAAAAATAATAAAAATGGAGATACGAGGTTTGCAAGTGTATCTTCACTGAGTGCGTTTACATGCACTCAATAATCCAAACATAACCGGATTTTTGCAGTTATCTGATAATTCAAATGATCATGTAAACACCATACTCTGATCTAGAAATCCGATTAAGAAATCTGATAGAGAGCTAGATTTTAAGCTCCGTAATCAGTGCATGTAAACTCTTACTCAGATTTCTTTCAGATCTCTGTTTGCGATGGTGCAAAAAAAGACCAGAAATAAGAAGCGCCGGCGTGAGACGTAGCAAACAAGGTTCTCCCTTGTTGCCTGTTCAATAAAAGAGCATTCGCCTTTAAAGCGCAATGTTTCCCGCAAATTCTTCTTCACCGACACTAGAATATATTATATAATTATAATAGTTTGTGAAATACATCAGGCTACTTTCCAAAATTAATGGAAGGAAATTAAAGCTTTTTTTTTTGTTTATTATTTGTTTAGTTTTTAGCAATTAGCTTCATTCTCCCCCAGGACTCACTCATGGTCACCCTCTAGTTCCTTGCAGTGATGTTTTTTGATGTAATGGGAGAAATAGGAAGTGGTCAGGCTCCCCTTAAACTGACTCTGGTCAGGTTATCGTTGTAATTATGATTTCAATGTCAGGGTGATAATAATAATTACGTTTTTCATTTATTAGCAAATAATATATCGATATATCGTGCGTCCCTAAAATACATTCCGTTTCTTGCACTTCATTCACTCTAAGTGCTTCCTTTGCACAATGGTAGCAGTTAAAACAACCTCTTTTACTCTTGTACCACGCATAGAGGAGATGCTCTGTGTTTAGCTTCTCTTTTCTTCATCTATCATCTTTTGTTTCCCTTGATACCTGCCATGCGGAGTTTCTGCATGCACTGTAGAAGGGGAAGAGTAGGGGAGAGGGAAAATTAGAGACAGGGTCCTGTGCTACAAAGGACCTGTGAGTCATTCCAGTGAACACAGAGATGATTTAACAAGCAAAGAATGGATTGACTTGCTAACTGCATTTGAATGAGAATACTCCACAGGGCTGGTCATTTGCTGTAGGAGATTATGGAGAGTAGGCTCAGACGGAGGATGACTGTTGTGTGTCAGTTGGCATGCACACATGCATAATCACTGAAATCCTCCTTGAAATTCCCTTATTCTCAACCATGACATGGTTTCACAGCTAGTGGCAACATTTGCACGGTCACGGTCAAACTGAAGGCACAGCGCTGTTTAGAGGGCCCATATCCTAAATTTTTCATGCGTTTTATTCTTTTCCCCACTGATGATGTTTGTATGGTTTTATGTAGCAAAAAATCATTATTAGTTGACCATGTTCCAATCTTTGTTTATTAATCAGAATCAAACTTACTGTCCTACTATGCCTTTAAGACTAATATATCATCACGGTCCAAAAAAACAAAAATATAAGTCTTCAAAATAGTAACTTTACGGAAGAGAGCAAAAACATTCTTAACTTTTAATGTAAGTGAAGATAAAGATTTTTTTCCAAATAATTTTGGACATTTGGTCTGTTCATCAGGGCATCTTCAAACTATGTAAAGGACAGCGTTTCAAAAATAAAACAAAAACGAAATTGAAAAAATTTAGCTAAATGTTTTCGATATGCTGGCTACAATATGCAAATGACTTCTATTCTGATTGGCTTGTCTGTATTGTGCTGCATTCAAAAAATGGCCTTGCTGCGGCACTTATTATAACTTAAACGTAAATAGGTGGGGCTACGGTCCTGTAATCTGCATAGGCAGATATACTTTACTGAACAAAAAGTCAGTTTTTTAAAAATAATATCAGTTCTTTTCAGTATTTAGTGTGTCCACCCTTTGCCTTTATTACAGCTTCCATTCTCTTTTGGAAAACCTGTTCTTTTGAAAAGCTTGCTTTTTCAAAGAAATCTGCATGGCTATTTTTCCACACGTCCAAAGTTCAGTCTTAGAAGTTGGTTGCACTTTCTGTTTCTCACCATCCAAGTAATCCCAATCACATTCAGTGATGCTGATTCTTCTTTTCCGTCTATTGTCTTTGCTCACTAAGGGTTAATTGACAACTACACATTACACACATACAATTGCCATTTTAACTAGAAATTAAATAAATGCAGGGTGGTCTTTTACACAGTACTGTATGTGTAAAAACAGGGCATCAAGCCTACGTGCATAGAGGACTCCCATATACCTAAATGCATATCTTCTCTCTCTCTCTCTGCTGTTTGACAGGGTTGCCATAAATCTGAGCGAACAGGCCGCAGCAACAGATACACTTAGGACCTTTCAGCACCTTTATCCCCATTGGAGGGTCCAGTACTGCAGCATGGCTGCAGTGGTGGCTAATCTCAGCATGCCCTGGGGGACAGGGGTGCTAATGGGCCTCACGGACACTCCTAATCAGACTGTGACTGGATCTCCAGGGCCTGGCCGTTCTCTAGCACCTCTCTGCACCGTGTGCTGCTGTGGAATGCTCAACCGCACCCTGGCTGTGGTGTTCATGGTCAGCCTGGCCTTCGCCATTGTCGTGGGCAACGTGGTCACGCTCACGGTCTTCATGCAGACACGCCAGTCCCGCACACCACAGGGCTACCTCAAAGGTATCCTAAAAGATTTGCATGCAGTGCTTACACAAATTTAAAGAGCTTGCAGTACAGCTTGGTGTCCATAAGAGGGCAGTGTGTAGTGAATTTGGGTAAAATTGGGTACAATGATTGCAAACACAGCCTCCATATCATCTAAATATATCCAATTAATCAGATTCCACAGTAAGATAATGAAAGTGATAGTTCAGCCAAATGGTTTGGCCATTTACACAATTATTACACAATTATTCCCTTAAGACAAATGTAGTCGAACAACCAAGCAGACTGGTGTCTAAAGTTCTTATGGCATTTTACACTGTATGTCATGCTATAATTTATATAAACGGACAAAACTCAGACAAAAGTCAGGCTTTATGGCTTCACTAGGTGCAATTGTGGTCATTGTGTGATCCACACACTTAAAAATGATGATTCTTGCATGATTAAACGTTTTTTTGCATCGTGAAAGAGTTCTTCAGATTGATGGAGAATGCGCTGTAGGTGGCTTTATATAGAACCATTTGAAAAGGGCTCTATTTGGCACCAAAAAGGGTTCTTCTATTGTTACGGTGTCAGGCTTGTTGCAATAGAAGAACCTTTTTTGTGCTATATGGAACCCTTTTCAAAAAGCTTCTATACAGAACCATCTACAGAACATTTTCCTTCAGTCTGAAGAACACTTTCATGATGCAAAGAACCCTTTAATCATGCAAAATGTTCTTTGACTTTTCAGGGTTCTATGTAGAACCAATTTATTTACTAAAAAATCCTTGAAGCACCATCATTTTTACACTTTTGTCCATTTGTTTAGATACTAGTATGTCATGCAGTGTCAGAAACCACATAAGCCAGTTGAAATTACTTTACCTCAATTTGAGGTAAATAGGTGATGAGGGTCAATCCGCTGTGGTGGCAAATGATATCCGACAATTTTGAAGCCATGAAAATGAGCTCTGAATAAGAGTAAAGCACAGAAAGTTGATGTCTGTTGATATTAGTTGATCTCTTCTGGAGTTTTTATATCCACAAGGCTAAGAAGTAATAAGTAAAGCTTACAGTTCATAGCATCATTGCATCATACAAACTGCACACCAATGTTTGCCACCAGTTTGTATGATGCTAAACTGGTGATACAAACACACACACACACATACGCACACACACACATCGTCTAAACTGCTTATCCTTCTGGGTCTAAACTGGTGACTCTAAGGTTAAATTACTTCTTATCGTCATGGATCTACTGCAAAATTGTAGAAGCAAACTTCAACCAATCATATCTTGGCTTTGGGGAGGCTAATGGGAAAAATGTATACATTGATTTTTGACAGTGTTGCTTAAAGACAGTTCTTCTTCCTGGAAACTCATGATATCACTTAATGTTACACTTGATGAACTGTTTTGTCCACAACGGTCTCTGCAGGACCAGTGATGCAATACAAAGCCTAACAAGATGAAAGAAGCACTTAGTGAAAATTCATATTTGGCATTTGAGATGTCCCAGAAATGGCCCACATGAGGAAATTAAATGAATTGCTGAAGCTGCCAGTATATCATTAATATGTATATATATCTGTGCCTGTGTTTCGTAGTGTCTCTGGCTGTAGCAGACATGATGGTTGGAGTCTTGGTGGTGCCATTCTCTGTCTACACTGAGATATCCCTCATGGTGACGAGCACTCCTCCTGTGTGGTACCAGGGTGGATCGGCAGTGACAGAAGGAGGGATTTCTGGCTCCTGGCAGCCCTGTATGCTGATTGGCCCTGTTTTCGCTGGCTGTACCTTCGTTTCAATCAGCACCATTTTCCTAATGACGGTGGAGCGCAGCGTGGCCATCTTGCGGCCGCTCCACAAGGACACTCTGGTGACGCGGCGGCGGACTCTGCTCCTGATCCTCGTTTCCTGGGCGGGCAGCTTCCTGCTGGCCATGGCGCCGCTCATCCTGAGTAAGAGCTTCACCCTGGAGTACAACGAGTGCAGCCGCATGTGCAACTACGTCCCTCTTCTGGTCGGCCTGCATCTGCCGGCCGACTCCAACATCATGCTACTCTTCCCTGCCTTTGACTTCACCCTCCTAGGCGGCACCCTTGCTGTCAACATCATGTCCTTTACCAGCATCCGCCGCTACACACGCAAACGCAAGCTGCTCTCAGAGGGCAGCCTGGGCCTGGAGGCCGGAGGGGCCGGCGGCTGCCCCCACAGACCCTCCTTCTCGGACATCAAGGCGGCCAAAACCATAGGCATCCTCACCTTTGCCTTCACCGCCTCCTTCTCGCCCATCGCCGTCTTCGTGCTGGGCAACGTGGTGGGCTACACCTGGTGCAACTTCTCCTTCTTCGCCTTCTGGATCCTGACGGGAAACAGCTGCTGCAACGTAATCATCTACAGCGTGAGGGACCAGCGCTTCAGGAAAGGGGTGATGCTGCTGTTTCACAAGGACCGCTCACCCCCGCACTCTGAAAAGAGCTGAGCTGAGGTGCTCAGGCAAGGAGGTCAAGCACTGCCAGCCTCTCCTCCGTTTCGGACTCCTTACCGTCTGCTCATGAGATTGGCGCTGTTCTTTTCAGGAATTTCTTCAACAGAGGGCTTTCTAAAAAAAGCTTGCACTTCAGGGACCAAAACCAAACCAACTCCAGGGATTGTGGCCAGATTCTTTTTTTTTTTAATCACTTTCTGACAGAGAACAATTATCTATAGTTTTGTTATTATTTATTAAAACTTAAATGTTGTCATGTCATCTATGTTGACCAAAATATTTATTAGTCTCAGAGGCTCCATTAAAAAATACATTCTGCACTTTATTCTGATGTTTAGGGGTGGTTTTCAGGACACAGATTAAGCCTAATGCTAAACTAAATAATGCTTTAAATGTAATGCAGCATTTCTTGAATAAATATTTTGGCTAATTTTTGTTTCTAATGCTTATTTCATAAAAAACATATTTAGCAGCACTCTGGGACAAGCTGGTAATGGTCTGAGGAAGAAGGACCTTCCAAATGTACATGAGCTAGATATGATAAACAAAAAATGTCAGTTGCAGTCCAAATGCAAATGAACAAGTAAATGATTATATGAATCTACAGCACTGTGCAAACATCAGAGACTACCCTTCATTTATTTGGTTTCCAGTCAAGATGGCAAGTTGTTCATTTTCAGGGGATATTTCTCACACACACACACACACACACACACACACACACACACACACACACACACACATATATATATATATATATGTGTGTATATGTATATATGTGTGTGTATGTATGTATGTATGTATATATATATATATATGTATGTGTGTGTGTGTGTGTGTGTATATGTATGTGTGTGTATGTATGTATGTATGTATGTGTGTGTGTATATGTGTGTGTATATGTGTATGTATGTATGTATATATTTTTTGCTTATTTATTTTTATATTTTATATATTTTTTGCTTATTTCCTGATACTGAAAAATGAGTCACGTAGCTGTTTTGACCAGACATGAAATTAATAAAGGGTGCTCTCTGACTTTAATATAGTACTGTATGTAGATGGCTAACTAGCCTTGCAGCTCTACCAAACAATATAATGCTTAAGCCAAAACTAAAGCCAAGAGAAAAGACCCACCTGTTAATTTCCTCTCTTTCTTGATTCACCACACACAACCCAGGTCATAACAGGTCTTGGAAGGACTCTTTAACTATCTCAGTTTACATCAGGGCTTCCTAGTCAATCCTCTAGGAGAACTATTGAAAATCTTTTGCTTGTGTTGCATTTTGTTGCATTTCTCAATACATTTGAGAAACAAGTCTGTGAAGAATGCTTAGTACTTGGCCAAATGTGTTGAGAGTTAGAGCAGAATGTGCTGGACGATGGTCTTCAAGAATTGAATTGGGAACATCTGGCCCGTGACACAATCATTTACAAAATCAAATTTTGAAAAATCAACAATTATATTGGTAACACTTTCTATGAATGTCACATTTGTAAGCATCTATAAACACATTTATAACATGTTAGAATGCATTCATTAAGGCATTATAACCATGGTTATAAATATTTATAAAAATGAATTACACTGAATTCCACTTTGTAGCCAGGTTTATGAAACATTATTGTTTATATAATGCATTATAAGTATTGTTAATAACATGTTATACTGTCTGCGCTAAAGAAGTCAGTCCCAGCTTGGAGAGTGTAACACTTTCTGTGAATGTCACCTTTGTAAGCATCTATAAACACATTCATAACATGTTATAATGCATTCATAAGGCATTATAAACATGGCTATAAATATTTATAAATATGCATTACACATTATAACCGTGCTTATTATGCATTATGAATTGTTAACATAATACATTATAAGTAATGATCATAACAAATTATAAGAGCTCATAAGTTGTATTTGTCCACTCTAAGTAAAGAAGCGTACTGTACTAAAGCCTCCTCCAGTGTTAAGAGTGGGGCTTCAAGTTGAAGTATTTACTGAAGAATTTACTGAAACACTAAAACATACATAATAAAGCACATTACAGGCTTCAAATGTCAGAGTTTAAACTAGTGCTGCCATCAGTGTTTTACCCAATGTGGGAAAGTTAATGTACACCACCGGTAGCTTGGTATTTGTCTTTACTTTGCAGTCTCCAAGACTGACTTCTTTGGCACTGACAGTATAACATGTTATCAACACTACTTATAATGCATTATATTAACAATTCATAATGTATAATAAACATGGCTATAAAGTGTAATCCAGTGTAATTCATTTTTATAAATGTTTATAATCATGTTTATAATGCCGTATGAAGGCATTATAACATGTTACAAATGTGTTTATAGATGCTTACAAACGTGACATTCACAGAAAGTGTTACCGTAAAGACAAACACAAAGTTTACCATTATATTTTCCCTTTTGGTTCGTTATTCTACGATGTTTTATACTGCAGTTTTTCAACCCTGTCCAGAAAACCACCCCTTAATAGATTTTATGGGACTTTTTTTCTTAGTTTGTTTTTGAAGGTAGCATTAAGTATTCTTTTTGTACTATATGATTTTTGTAAGATCATTATTTTTTATGAATTCATTTTTATCCTCTCAGTAGTAGTAAAAGTATGTGTGTTTTTATCTATAGAGATTAACTTTTTTCTAATCCTGAATATCAGCCGCACTTTTCAAGGTGCCGTTGTCAGGAGAGAAAAGATACAGCTGCCTTATTACACAGTAGGTCTTTGAATATTCACCACCAGTGCAACCAAATTACTTTCCCTTCAGTTAGTGTTCCATGTGTCTCGTTTGTCAGTGTTCCAACTGTCAGCTGTCAACATGCAGGACAATTTCCTTTGGGAGATTAGTGTGTCATGGAAACGGAAGCATTCAACTAAAAAAAGGCCAAATAGTCAGCTGAAAATTGGTTCAGGATCCACCCTTGTCAACTCCCCCATAAATCTGACTGTCTGAATCCACGTATTAGTAAGTTTTTATATTGAGCTGTAATCCTCTTCATTATAAAACGTGACAAAAGTGAAATATTTCAAAATGTCTGAATGTCAATAAAATGAAATCGCTAAATTATGTACTGTCATGATGAAACACTCTCAAGAAATTGTAAAAGACATCACACCAATTTACACTTATATCTAAACCCCGATCTAGCTGCAGGTTCTCTCATGTTCTCTGAACAGGACTAAAAGGTTTGGTTATTGTTGTGAATATCCGGTCAGCGTTTGCCGTTGTCCATACTCAGAACACTGTAATGTACTTTATCAGTATTGCATCATTAATGGGATGATGACCTTCGTTTTTTTAAATAAACATGAACATTTCAAGGATTTTTTTCTCAGTGTGCACTCCCTGACCATAATGTCTTGAGACAGGGCTGGACATCCCACAGTCCACTGCTTAATTATTCTATAACTAGTCTCAGCAGTAGAACCACCTACAGTATCTGTGGTGAAATATATCTAAGAGCATAACACTGCAGGTGCGCATGGTCATCCATGTGGTATAGATAGCATACAATACAGTTGTATGCAAATGTTTGAACACCATCAATCAAATTACATGTTTTGTTGATTGTCTAAGTGAAAATAAGTTAACCCATCTTCTACAGGGAACTCAGCAAATAAACAGAGATGTAGTTTGACTAGGATTGTTCAAACGTTTTCTGTATAACTGTACTACTTTTGGTTCCCTAAAGATTTACATATAAATGGAATTTTACTGTAAATTTGAATGAACAATTTCTATTTAAATATAAAACTTGTTCATTTTTGTTTATTTTTAGGATCCCCATTAGCTGCTATTGAGATAGCCGCTATTCTTCCTGGGGTCCAGTAGACATATCATACATAACAAAAATAGTGCAGTGACAATTAACAAAACAAGTCACACAAAACACAAGAGTAAAAAATCAAGAAAAACAAAAAAAAAAGAGAAAAGAAAGAAAAAAGGAAACTGATAAATAAAAAGAACACAATGATAACATCTGTGATATGGAAATGTTAAAATCCTTAATTTAGGTTGAAAAGTTGATTCTCATTCTATCCTATCATCTTTTAGGTCCCCCATCTGGTGCCTTGAAATGAGTCTTCTTACAATCTGTTTAATTATTTCTCGCATTATTCATAGTAAATAGCAGAACAGCACTGTTAAAAAAGGGCATATTGAAAACTTTAAACTGGTATCACATTTTACAAGAGAAGCAAAACAAGCAAATATTTTACTTATGTCTTTTCATTTTGGCCACATTTTGTAATTTTTAAACATACATTTTAGAAAAAAGTCCAAACTGCAAACACAAACCTGTCTGAATGCAAACTGAAAGAATGTACAATGTATTAGGCAACTAACTGTGTAATGACCTATATGATTACATGTTTATATTTAAGTAAAAATATAATTTAAATCAAAAATAAAACAATATAATTTTAAACAATATAATTTTATGAATTTTGTCAACATAATAGTACGCAGCTATGAAAGTACAAGCCTAAAGTGGCCATATAGGCTCATAAGCTATTTAACTTTCTAGCTGTCTAAAGGTGTTGTTACTCACTGCTGCCCTTCAAAAATGTTATTAACAAACACAAAATAAACAAACATTACTCACTGCTGCCCTCTATAGGCGTTATTAACAAACATCAAATAAACAAACATTACTCACCGCTGCCCTCTAAAGGCGTTATTAACAAACATGAAATAAACAAACATTACTCACCGCTGCCCTCTAAAGGTGTCAAATAAACAAACATTACTCACCGCCACCCTCTAAAGGTGTTATTAACAAACATCAAATAAACAAACATTACTCATTACTGCCCCTAAATGCGTTATTAACAAACATCAAATAAACAAACATTACTCACCGCTGCCCTCTAAAGGCGTTATTAACAAACATCAAATAAACAAACATTACTCACCGCCGCCCTCTATAGGCGTTATTAACAAACATCAAATAAACAAACATTACTCACTGCCGCCCTCTAAAGGTGTTATTAACAAACATCAAATAAACAAACATTACTCACCACTGCCCTCTAAAGGTGTTATTAACAAACATCAAATAAACAAACATTACTCACCACTGCCCTCTAAAGGTGTTATAGCACCAGTAAGAAGTTAAAACTCATTCACATTCACATTCTTCCAGGCATATGATTGTGAGAACTAACAACTGTGTAAAATAACTGCAGTCAACTTAAATAAATACGATTAGATGATTACGCAATTGTGGCAAGCCTAGGTATGAGGTATATGACTGGCCGCCATTCTCCACCTGTGAAAGAGATGAAGGTTGCATATGGGCCAGTGGTCAAACAGTGACAAGTTTCCATAAAGAGACACATCCATAGCAGAAAGCCTGATGCACTTAGACAGCTGCGAGTCTTGCCTCAGTACAGGACAACTGACTCGCAGA